AAGTGAAGAGTTTTAGGTAAGTTGAGAATGGGGGAGGACAGAGTTCCAAAATGGACGGCCTCAAACCCCAAACCAGAGTGAGACTTCATCCTGCAGGAAATGGGAGCAGTGACGGACTTTCAGCAAAGTAGAGCCTTGAGTTGTAGAGATTCTATGGCCCATCCCTGATCTCAGCAGCAGACCTGTTGCCTGTTTGCACTCCTGATGGGATCTCCTGTGACCCTTACCCAGCTCCATGTTTTTGTGCCATTTAAAGGGCTCAATACCTGGGGGTGGGGGTCAGGGGAGACTTCCAGCTTGGGGGACTGACCATGGTCTTTTTAAACAAGGGACTTGCTTATTTTCAGTATCACATGTATTTGGTATTGAACTTCCTGAAGAGGGTGGGAGTGACCAGGTAGCTTTAGAATGTTCCCATCTAGGAAGCTGGTCAATGACTCAGCAGTGGAGGGTTTTGCAATAGGTTTACAGAACCAGACCAGCTTGCTTTTCCCAAGGAAACCTTGGTGTCCTAAGAAAACCTCAGCCTGGGCCCCTGCCCTGCCGGGTTGAATTCCTTCTGTCTTCTGGTAGCACGCCTGTAGCACATGCTCTGGAACCATCATCGCGGAGTCTAAAAAGGGCTTTGGAATCAAGTCAGATTTTCAGTTCAAACTCTGGGTCTATCTCTAAAACCAGTTGTATGATCTCAGGCAAGTTACCTAACTTCTCCCTGTTATAGTTTCCTCATCTGTAAAAAGGAAATAACCACCACTTTGTGGGGTGGTTATAAGTATTAAATGAGACAAGTATTAAGTGACACAGAGTATTTATCCCATGTATTTTTTTTCTATTACCAAGAGTATAATGGTTCTACAAAGGAAATTAATTGTGTCTCTTGGCTCCACTCTAAAAAAAAAAAAAAAGATTTCCTGATTCCCCAACTGCCCTTTCCCTCTAGGCCAGCCCCAACATTTGAGTCCTGCAGGTGGGGGTGCTCCTGCAGTAAGTGGACTTGACCTTGGGGTTCAGGGAGAAAATTCTCTTGCCCAAGAAGTGGGTTGAAATAATCCTCATTTTCCCAGATCTATTTAGAAGACCCTTCCCTCAAACTGAGCTGTCAGAGGGGAAGGGGTTTGAGAAGGGTTGAGACGGGTGAAGCAATTAAGCAAAGAAAATGAAGAAAGATTCATTAACATAAAAATAAGAATACATTGAAGACAAAGAAGGTGGATTTTGGTATAAAGCAAGAAAACATAAAGAGGATTTCTAAATATAAATCTATGTTTCCCAAATAACTTCCTAAGACAAACACTGACATCATGTTTACTATGTGCCCGGCATAGTTCATACCACTTTAGAAATATTAATTCATTGGATCCTCATAACAACCGTATGAGGTAGGTGTTGTTGTCCCAGTTTACAGCTGGGAAAACTAAGCCACAAAGAGGTTACGCAACTTGCTGAAAGGCACCCAGGCATGTGGGTGATTTTAAGCCAGGCATTTCAGTGGGGGTAGAAAATTATTGTACAAAAATGAGTGGAGAAGAGAGCCCATCTAAAATGCCTTCTTTTGACAAAGGGTTTAGGTATTATCACAAAGGATTTAAACTTAGGTGGATCAACAACACTGCTTCCATGATAAGCCCTGCCTCCCAGGTGACTTCTACTATTATGAGTTGCCTCTTGAAGTCCCTCTTGAGACAATTCTAGGTAGGCCACACTTCTTTTCTTGGTTTATTTCTTTTGACAAACATCTGCTGAACATCACCATGGACCAGGCACGGTGCTGGGGACACCAAGGAAATTATGACAATTGGGCTCAAGAAGCTCACAGTTGAGTGGGGAAAGTCAATAAATTAACCAACAGTCACATACATACTGAAGAGAGAGCTCTGCAAGGATAAAGTGATCCTCGTTTCTCTCAAAGTAAAACCAGAGCCAACTCATTTACAAAAGAGGGAATTGCCACAATCTGTCCACAGAGTTAAGCAGGATGCCTTTCTTCGCCTCCTCCTTCATCTCTCTTATCTCTCTCTGTTCTTTGGACTTCTTGTCTTCCTTCTCTTTTCTTTACCTGTCCTTTTGCTTTTCTCTTAGTCACTTGAAGACCTTTCCAGGGTCTTTCCCAAGTACTTATGAGAGGGTTAATTTGAAACACAGGCAGATAGGGCAGGGGTCCAGTGGGAAACAAAGGCAGGTGGAACATAGGCAGGGGCAGACATGGCAGTTTGAGCCAGCCTAACCACAAGAATCAATCAAACAGAAATAATAAAATGTTTCTGGACTCAAAGCGGGAGGCGTGGGAAACCAAGGGAGGGCCTGCAGTAAACAAGATGTACGAACACACAGAAACAGAAAATGTTCACTATAGGAACAGAGAAAGAACACACAGAAACAGGAAAAGTTTAGGTCCATTGCAGGGCAAAAGCAATTGAAGGAATCAATCAGGTGACAACACAGATAAACCTAGAGCAGGCTTGTAGCAAATATATACCCCTGGACTACAAGGCTTGAATGGGCAGCCCATTCTGGGGTTGCCCTCCCTTTTGGGGGAGGCTGAATCTGCTTGTAATAAATTTTCCACACTTGGCTTGAATCTTCTGGTCCGCGGAGCTCATTCTTCAGTGTCGCGAGACACAACCCTGGGAAAAACACCTTGGCTCACCTTTCCGGTTATCACTTATTCTCTGAGCCTATGCATCTTGCTTGTGTATTTAAATATCAAAAGGTAAGTCAACGAGAAAAAAAAAAAAGGTAAGTCAACGAATGAAAAGAGTTGGGAAACATTGACAGAGATCTTGTTAAGCTCATATCAGATTATTTCCTGTCTCTTGTGACCTCAATAGTGAACTGAACATCCCAAGATGTTCCCTAATTCGGATGCAATCCGGCTGAGGGTGCTAAGACCAGGAACATTTTGAGAGAGAGATCAGAGTACATATCAGAGGTGAGGCAGAGCGAAGTCTGAGGACAACAGTAGCCTCTTTCCTGTCTTGAGCCCCATAAATGCCATCTGTGCATTAGACCTCTCATAACAAAGCCCAGATGGTGTTACTGGGAGGAACTGCTTTGTTTGGGCTTCAGGAAAGGGACTCAGGAAGGTGATGGTGATAAAGATGTCCTCCTGCCAATAATGCTTATTAGTTACAAGCTTGTGAAGAAAGCATCTTTAAGAGAAAATCTTTACCATGATAACTTTCTTGCTTCTTTTTATTAACTCCATTCTAGTCCACATCTCCCTAAGATCCTTAAAGTACTGTTATTTTCAAAATTCAGTTACTTCTGGGTGATGTTGTTTCTTGCTCTTAACTCATTGGCAAGCAGTGAAACTGGATAGCTCTGGCTCCCTTTTGGTTGCTTTGTTAGCCCCAGAACAGGTTCTTTGTCTGCCTTTGTTTCATCCATTTATCTTCTCAGCAACCGATCCATCAAACATTTATTAGGCTTATCCTTTGTGCAAAGTTCTCTGATGTCTACTCTAGAGGATACAAAAATGCAGAAGACATACTCCATGCTTTCAGGAATTTGAAATCTGTGAAGACACATTTATATCATAAAAGGCCTGTGGTCGTGACACTGTAACAGGCAGAATGACCAAACAATGGGTCACCAGGAGGTGCATGGAGCACCTCTCATGGGCCAGGACTCATGGCTCGTGCAGGACTGGTGGGGCTGGTGGGGCTGGTGGGGCTGGTGGGGCTGGTGGGGCTGGTGCAGCAGAGGTGGGGCCTGCGGCTCTCACAGAGCAGGTCTGGGGTCCTGCGCAATTTCGCGCACTGGGCCTCTAGTTTAAATATAACAAAAATAAATACAGACACAGAAGAGATTTTGTGGAACTTGAACTGATTCTTCTTTTTACCATTTTAGAAGTAATATGGTTCTTTAAAAGCATGCCTCCTACATCTGGTACTTTCCCCTCCCTCCTCTATGAGTTCCAGGGAGGCCAAGTTGATCCTTCAAGTCCAGGAGATAGGGACCCACTTTGGAATCAGGATGGATACCTCCAACCCAAAGATTTCAATCATCAGGGCAATATGTGCTCGGGTCAGAATTATGACTGGCTCCATGCAAGACCTTAGGGCCAACAGAGTCATGCACAACCCAGATGACAGTAGCAGAGGCAAGGTTTACTTCCCTTGGGTTCCTTTGTACAAGTTACAGCCCTTTCCTCAAGAGCATAACTATCTAGAGCATGCCAAAAGCCACTGCATACTCCTCCCTTTGAGAATTTCATCACTGGATTAGCTGGTCTTGGGTAAAAAATTAAGAGGAGTAGGGGAGTGGTGGTGCAAGACTAAATGATGGACTAGAATCAGTATAATGGACTGTGCAGGCAGTTGTGTTTGGCACATAGTTTTTGAACCAAACGGAAAAATTTGGGGTATATTCTCCATCTTTCTAACCAAGTCTATCAAGGGTTACAAAGTCATCCCAGGTAAAATGGATAATAGAAGCCTCTATATAACTGAGTTTGAAACACAAGTCCCTAAACATCCTTCTTTATTTAACTCTGGGGTCAGTTAATTTTATTTTGGGGTGTTCAGGAAAGGCTTAAGAGAGAACACATGCTGCACCTGGGTCTTGAAGGACGAGTAATTCACAATGTGTGGGAAAAGGGGAAAGGAATTCTAGATAGAAGAGGAATGGAGATGAAGAAGGGCTGGGGTGGTGGGACTGAGGATATGGAAGCAGAGAGAATGAGATGGGTAGAAGGATGGCCAGGTATAGAACCTGCATACTCCACAGTCATGAACAGCAGACTGCTAGTGGTGACATGCTGGAAGGGAAGGAGCTGAGGGAGGTGAAGCCCAATCACAGGACCCCCGTGGGTGGGAAGAGTCCAGAGTCTCCATAGTTTCCCCTGTCCACTGGGGCAGTTGTTTCTGTTACAAATGAAGTTTGGCAGAAGATGCCCTTGGAACCCAGGGTAACCCAAGACAATGCTGGTGGCAGTGTGTCCACTCTCTGTGCCTCTACACCCCAGCCTGAGACCACCATTTCTGAAGAGACTTGCCTTAGGAGTTGCTTCTCTTTTATTAAGGTATCACTTGGACAGCAAACAAACAGCACAAGCAGACACTACAAACCCACATGCAGAATAAATTATGACATTTGTATGTAAAAGTAGACAATAGAAGAAGCTGTGCTACCAAGACAGCCTCCCAATCCAGTGTCTGGAGACTCATGAGTATTGGCAGCCCCTGTGAGTTCATGACAAATCTTCTGTGAGACTTTCAGAGCCCAACTCCCCCCTCCCTCCAGGCATATCTAATGAGGCTCAGACTCCTGCACATGAACATGTGCACACACACGGATGGGGGCAGAGGGCGGCCTCTAAACCACAACCAGATTAGCAACAAGCAAAGTGGACCCATCTGTGCTCTCCCTCTGGGTCTGGCAGCAGATGAGTTCCTGGCACTCATCCTTCACCAACATCCTGGTGCAGGGGGCCCCTGAGGCAGTGAGGACGGCTTCCCACAGTGAGGAACCCAGTTTTATTATCTGGGGGCAGGTGTCCTGGACTCCAGGGTGAGCACAACTCAGCTTTCCTACAGCACCCTTGCTTAATGGTCTGGCCTGCTTGCCATTCCCAGAACAATGAGTCAAGAGATGTATTCCCAGGAGAATCTACCAACTTGGAGTCCCCTGGTCTGTGGGCAAGTTCTCCATGAACCACTCTCCTGGTGTGAAGTCGTGAAAGTCACCACAGTTCTTGGAGCCTCACATGCCCCATCTGTAAAAATGAGAATGAGAGTGTCTACTTCCCAGGGTTATCATAAGGAATTACTGAACTCTGATGCTGCCATGTTCTGTGCCAGACTCAAGGTAAAACTTCAAAACCTGTTCTCTTTCCTGCCCTCTTCTCCCCCATTTCTTCCTTTCTATTTCCTTGTTTTCTATTTCCAGATTCATGTATCCATTGGTGATCATGTAACCCCAATGGCACCAAGAGCACCTCTTGACCAACAGAGATTGCCAGTGTGTGCTTCCCCTCAGTCCAAAATGGCACCATGGGCAGAGTCAAAGGGATGGACCACAGGGCCAGTAGACAGTCTGGGCATCAGGTGCCACCTAAGCCCAGAAGAGAGAGCTGGGTAGCCTGTGGCCACATGGAGACCTGACTATCTTGGGGATGATGGTGAGGTGCCATAATAGTGGGAAGACATGAACAAACAGTGCTGTAGAGGTGGCTGTGAGCTGAGTCTGGCCAGAAGCTGGAACCAGGAGTGGTGCTGTTTAACCTCCAGCAGAAACAAAATCACACCCCCTGCCAAGAACGGGACACCCAAAGATGTAGGAAACTTATCTTAAGGCCAGTTTGATGGGTTATAGTCCACCACTCTGGTTCTGCAGAAAAGTTCCTCCATCTCTCCATCTGTCTGTCCACCAGCCAGCCATCTGGTATATATGAAGAGTTTTGTGGAATACAGGCTGACTGGGACAGGAAAGCTTCTGTGCTCATTTAGCACCTTTTCCCAAAGAGTATCTTTTATGGTCACTCAACTGCAGTCTTTTACAGGAATGTTGTGAGGTAGTAACAAGACAGGCGATACCCAAGAAGTGCTCAAGGTAACAGTACTCAAGTGAGCATAGCTGAAACATGGTAAGGGCTGGTTAAATGCAGGGCACTGATGTGTTCTCCTGAGGCCAGAACCCGCCTTCCCCCTGTAGGCCTTGGTACGACTTGTCCTGGACCGACCTCTCTATCCAGGCCTGCTGTGCTGCAGTTCACACGAGTGTGGGTTTCAAGTCATCTTTGAAGTTCACGATAGGCTTTGAGCGGGCCCACAGCTTTTCCCAGGAAGCCAGCCCCCCAGCATGCTCCGGGTCAGAGTCTGAAGAGCCACTGTCACTGGAATCAGAGGTACTCTGGAAGCAGATTTCACAGTAGGGCCGGTGGCAGTGGCAGAAGAACTCGTCTGAGCTGCTGGACTCAGTGTCAAGGTAGTTGCGTGGAGAAGAAAGGGAGAGACAGCCCGGGGACCTCAGGGAATGCAGCTGGCGCTGCTCAGGCAGATCTGGTGATCGGTGTGGGCCAGCGGGACACTGTGCCTGGCCAGGACCAGGAGGCTGGTGAGGAAAGGCTGCACAGCTTCTCCCAGCTCCCTGGGGCTCTGCCTGGCACTGTTTGCTGTCCTCCTGGATGCCCGGCTTGCCTTGAGGATCTGGAAGTAACGAAAGCTTCTTGGAAGAGGGTTCCCTGGAATCAGCAGTTTGAGGGTCCAAGCAGAGGCTGTCCGGGTTCTGCACATTTAACCCACTCTTTGTGCCAGATGCCACCCTATTTGCCCGATGCCCCACATGTGAGGGTACAGAGCCCGGAAAGTGTGAGCGAGCCCGCTGCGCTGCCCGCCTTCTCCTCACCATGTATGGGCTGAAGCCCAGCTCCCTGGAGAAGGGCATCTTCTGGGGGCCGTGGGCAGCGCTGCTCTTCCAGGGTTGCTGGGGACAAGACAGGGAAGAGGGGACGGGAGCCTCAGAGCCCAGGCCCAGATCCTGTAGGACTTCCTGAAGCTTCTCCCTGATCACTGAATTGACCCTTGACTGCTTCTGGGGCTCCCCTGAGTTCTCCCGCTGCCCCTGTCTCTGGGGAACAGAGCCTTCTTCAACTGGTGTGAGGCTCTGGCGGGGGACTGCAGGTTCCTGCTCTCTCCGTTCTGCACCCTGGCTTGGCTCAGCCTGCTGCTTCTGGCTGCAGCCCAAATTTAAATGATCAGAAAAGTCTCTCAAGTCAGACATCTCCTTCTGCCCCGGGGAGGAGCCAGTGTCCTTCCCAGGCCCCTCGAGGCTTTGTGCACTTGAGGAGGGCACTGAGGTGCTCTGGGAGTCCTGGGCTGCCGCACTGGTATCATTTGGAGAGTCAGAGAGGCATTCCGAATGCCGCTGAGTGGCCAGGCCGTGCGCAGGGGCTGCCGCCTGACCCTCCTTGCTATGGGAAGAGGCAGGGAGGACAGCGCACTCCGGGAGGTCATAGGTACACTCCGTTGACATCAGCCTCACTAGCTTCTCTTTGGCGTTGTTTACTTGTTCCTGCAGGCTTTCAATCACAGCATTTTTCTGTAAGGCAAAAGCAAAACCATCAACAAAAGATGCCGCTGAGGGTTTTCACGCTGTTTCCCAGGGTGGAGGAAGTGTAGCACCAGAAGACGTTGGTTTAAATCCCAGGTCCTCTGTGTATTAGCTGGTGATCTTAAGCTCCGAGGAGGCACCTCCACAGAATGAAAACATGTGATGCACACGCAGTGCTGAGTACAATAACTGACACCTCGTGCTCAATAAAGGTTAACCACGGTTTATTGTAGAATCTTAATCTCCCCCTAAGGTCCCCACTCTGTGGCGTTGCCGGTGAGATGGGAGGTTGGAGGAGACACAGCTTGCTGCTTGCTGGCTGTGCACACCCTCCTCAGGATGGAGAGGGTCAGGTCGCTCTCTCTGCAGGGCACAAGTCTGAATAATGGCCCAACTCCGGGTTTATGACACCTTTGCAAAATGCAGGCGAATTTGAGGCATATCCCAAAAGGATGACTGAATGGGGAGACAAGTATTTTGCCTCTTGCTAAACAGACTAGAAAATGGAAAACTAAAAGGTTGGAGATATCTGGGCCAAAGAGATAAGACTGGAGCCAGGAAGGGCCAATGAGAATCTCAGATTGGTGTTATGTCCTCCCTTGCTGGACCTCGGAGTGGCAGGTGAAAGCTTCCAGGTGGCACTATCTGTTATTGGTAGCTCCTAAAGTAGTGCAGGCATCAGAATTATTAGAGAAGCTTTGCTTTTTTTTTTTTTTTTTTTTAAAAAAGGATCATTGGGCCTAAGTCTCTGACACTTGATTCAGTAGATCTAGAATGGAGCCCAGAGGTGAATGAGCCTAGAGCAGTTCTGCTGTTGATCTGCCTACCTGTTGCATAGCTTTTAGTTGGTAAACAGGCTGTGCCCAGGAGGCCTGGTGGGTGCAAGCTACAGAGGTGTGTCCGTACTGACTGGGATCGTGGGCATGAAGTAGGAGGAAGCATACTGGTGGTAGGTGTGCCCTGAGCATCCTCTGGTGATAACAGCAGCTGCGTCTCTAACTCAGACCTTATGTCCACCTTCTGACATTGCTGATGATCAAAGGCGGTGGAGGAGGGAAGAGATCTTCCTGGGGAACTGATGGTCTTGGGGCAGACAACCCAGGTCAGGTGTTTGGGGAAGGTAATGACACAAGCATCGTGTTCTAGGAACTGTCTGTCTGAACACCCAAATGCTGCCTCTCTGTTGCCATCACCTTCAAAAAGCTGAGGATGCACGTTTGGACATACACTTATTATGCCCTAGAAGTAAAAAGTCGTTTCCCATCTTTAGAAAACCTGACACAAGTCACCTATGGACCACACCTGTGGTGCCTTCTCAAGTTGAAATGGGAGACTTGCCCAGAAGGGACCCTTTCAGAAAGCAGTACTTTGAGTAAACTAGTCCAGCAATCGTCTCTGGCAGCAACTCCAAGGCCGATCACTGCTCCCTATTTATAGGCAGGAAGGTGGTTTCTCTGATACCGGGACTCCCAGTTACGTCCTGGTTTAGCCTACTTCTTTTATCATCAGGAGAGTCCCAGACCAGTGAGTAACTGCTGAATAAGCTGAAGGGACTGGCAGCTAAGCACCTGCCTGCCTGTCTTCCCCTTTCTCACCCCAGTGTGGTGAGGTCGGGGCGTTGCCGGGGAGGTGTGGATGCCTGGGGACTCACCATGAGCAGAGAGGATGAGTAACCGGGAGGCAGTCATTCAGGCTCTTCGTGATACCTGGGTGGTGCCAGATAGCTCTTGAGCATCTCACGGTGGGCACTGTGCTGGTTGCCCAGGAGGGACCCCACCCCTCTTCCACCTCAGCAGCCCCTCCGCATCAAGGAGGGTTCGGGCTGGCTTCAGGAGGCCTCGGCTGCCTCACAGAGTTAGGAGGAAGCCACCAACTGCTGACAGCTATCCCAGCAAGTAAACTCTGAATGCTGTCTTTTTGTGCCTTACCCACAAGTTTCTTTGAGCGTAGAAAAATAGGGTCAATGCTGAGTTGGGAAGAAGGCTCTTCTCCCAGCAACCAGACATCTGAAATTGGCCGGTGACGGATTGAGAAATGTCAGTCTAAACAGGAAATTTCTCTCCTTTCAGAGAAAAAAAGTGGAACTCTGATTTCACCATGGCTGCATACTAATTAGGGGCGTGGTGTGAGTCACTGCCTCTGTGAGACCAAAATCTGACCTACCATGGCAGCTGCATTTAAATGAGCTTATTAATTATTACTTTTGGCACATCTGGGGAAGCCAAACATCCACAGGTGTGTTTCACAAGGTACAGGCCATAAGGAGAGATGGAATCACCCTCTGGTTGTTATGGCTCAGGGAAGAAAAAGAATAGTTTGGTTTCCTCTGCTGCGGAGTGTAGAAGGGGTTTCTACAGCCCTGGGAAGGTTCTCCCTGCTGGCTTCCACATAGCCTGGGAAGTCAGTGATGGGTGCTGCCCTGGACAGCCCCTGGGGCACCCCTGACCATAGTGGCAAGGGGGGCAAGAGTGAGAAGGTGGACTGCCCAGGTCATGGGAAAGTAAGAGGAGGACCAAGGGTGGCAGAGGGGCTGCAGTGGAGGGAAGCTGGAGTCAGGGCTTGTGCACAAGACGAGACAGGAAAGATGCCATGTTTGCCCACCAGACAATGCCAGAGCTGGGACCTCTCTAGGCCTGCTCCGGTAGCTGGGGGCAGCGGCTGGTTCCCAGGCCTTTTCTGGGAGAGATGCACCAGGTGTGGGGTGTTGGGGAGAGGCCAGCTTTTTACTGCCTGTGCATCTGCTCCCTATTAGGGCCCTTCCTCTGCAGACTCAAGGCATCTTTTTGGATAGAGCAGAGACAGTCACTGCGTGGGAAACAGCGTAGTCAGTGTGGCAGGAGTACAAACAGCACGTCATAAATTACCATAAGGCTAAAGAGTCAGGCCACTTGGCTGTTCCAACATTAGCTGATTGTGAATGAAAACCATCCTGGCTGTTCTCGCCAAGTTTCTGGCCTTCTGTTGAGCTAAAAAAAAAAAAATGCTTCTTTGAAGACTTCACAGAGTATCTCAAAGGCAATGCTACTCCCTTGCCAGGTGGGAAGAAATCTGGCTTTGAAATAGGTCCTGAATGCTTCATAAATAGTACAGAAATAGAGCAGTATTACTCTGATTTTTTAAAAAGGTCCAGACTGAGGGTGTGGTGTGGGAGACTAGAGGGGCACCGACAGGGGGTGCAGGGAAGGTTCACCCCCTCACTGGGCTGTGTTTCTTAGGTTCCTACCTCACCGTCCTCTCAGACAGGGATCCCTGATAACCACCTGTCAGTCTAATTACAGAAAAACGTAGTTTCCCAAATAGCACCTACTCAGGTGTGTTCTGTACTGAAGAAAACATGGAATCTAATGTAGTCGGTGTGAAAATATTGGCTAATTCTTCTGAGCCCTGTGCCTTCTTTCTGAGGCAGTGCAGCCTCCAGCTTCTCCATGTGCTTTCTGCAAGCCCACACCCCAGTGCCCCGTTCTGGGAGAGGTGCCAACTCTGGCCCAAGCACAGAAGAAGGACTTGGTGCTACTATGGTATTCAGAGGCCCTATTTAGCTCTCCTCCCCATCCTTAGATACTTATTGCCTCTCTGGGGTGGTGGGATGATTGAGATCTCTAGTTAGAACCTGGAAATACAGAAAGGGGCCCTATAAGATCTTGTAAATGAGAGCACTGCTCTATGTAAGGAAAGAATGTATCATACAGAAGGAGCTAGAATCCACTAAAACTCAGGGCCTTTCCAATGCTGTTCCCTGCTTGGAATGCTTTTCCCCACCATCTTTTCTGGCCAGTTTGTACTTAACCTTCATCTCTCAGCTAAGAGAGTCTTGTCTGACAGCTCTAAATTAGGTTTCCTTGCCCTGACCATCCATAATTCTGCCTTACCACCCTGATTTGTCCCTTCATTATTCTCTTGATCAACATCTATTTCCTCCATTAGACTGTGAGCTCCCTGAGAGTAGGGACTATATTTGTTTTATTCATCAGCACTTAGCACAATGTCCAGCACACAACTGTGCAATGACTGAATAAGTGGGTGAAGATCAGCAGTGGGAGAGTCACTGGGGAAATGTCAGGGTTTTGCCCGCTGCCAATGGAAGTGGGGGAATGGGCGGAGAAGAAAGAACATTAGCAATGGGACAGCAGGGGCCCACAGGTGCGTGACTGGAGTCTCCACCAGGCAGGGGTCTTGCTTACCTCTGTGAGGAGTCTTTCCATGGAGGTTTTCTCTCCTCTGGCATGGCAATTCTGTTCCTCACCATACGGGGCAGGGCAGCTTTTGCTGGGAGTGCTGAAATATTTGGCCATGCATCTAATTGTTTGGTTTTCCTCTTCAAATGCCTTCCATTGCTTCAGCTGTTAAATAACAGAGCATATGTTATTTATTTAATTACACACCCAGAAACACATTCTCTCACTAGTTCTCCAAAACACCAAGGAATGACGGTGATACACTAATGCACAAACTATTCTCTCCTCAGAATGTACTGTGCTCTGGAAAGCTAATGGACGGAAATGACAGAAGGCACAGAGAATGTTAAGGTGATATAGTTTTCAAAATGCCAAAGGGAGATGATAGGTAGATGACATAGAACCATCTTAGCTTGACCCAACCATTGCTGAACTGGTCAAAGAAAACCAGATTGAAGTATACTCCCAGGGCCATGTTCTAAAGCCAGAGTTTATGAGCTATAACAGGGTTAAGCAATCTAAACTCTGTATGTTTCAAGTGAAAGTATTTCCAGTTATAGGTAGCTGTTCTTAATTATCCTCATTCATTGGGTAATGGTGTGCTCACAGTGATTGCAAAGCCAGTTCCTTGCTGGAGAACTCCTAACCCAAGTCAATAATCAAAGCTCAGATAGGAAACCACAAATGGCAATAAATAGCAGTAAAAAAGACAGAACATTAGGTCTGCGATCTGACCATCTTTTCTTCTTAGACAAATGAGGGAAGACTCAGAAGGAATATGACTGATCTAGGCCCTTCCAGGAGGTTAGCAGTAGAGCCAGAGCTGTAACAGGGTCACTGTGCCACCCCACATGACCTCAACACAGCTGAGAAGACAGAGACTGCTAACTGTGGGGTCCTAAGGAAAGTTTTTTGGGAGAAACTGTTTTTAAGGAGCAATCTGTGGGAGCATGGGCTAGTTCGCCTTAATAGGGATGGAGCTGAACACAGAACATTCACCAACAAGGGCCATCCTCCTGAGCCTTTGGGACACTGTCTCTACCAGCGCATGCCAGTGACACGGATGCCAGGGGAGGCTACAGAGACAGAAGTGTCTGTTTTTCTTGTAGGAAATCTCAGCATGGAGAGTGCTAGTGATGTACACTGGGCACTGTGGCACCTTAGAAACGATGTTGGTGGCTGTGGGAGCCTCACACGGACCTGGGACTTCTTTGCTCACTCAGTAAACACGTCCTAACCCCAATTTGGTAAAGCTCAGATCGGATTCTAAATCTTTCCATCAATTTCAATACCACATCCTCTGTGTACTCAGCATGTGTTGAACTGCATGTTCCTCATGCCATCAGGAGTCGGTGTGATCTGTACTGGGTCAGGCCAGGAACCTCCCCCTCAGATGCCCTTCTCAAAAGCCTCGGGTGCCATCAGCTCCCCACCCTACTCAGGAGTTACTGGAGCCTGGCACCATAGGGTCACTGTATGGTCCTGAGTGGATGGAGCAGACACCAGTGTTGTGCTCCTAGGACTGACCCTGGCAGTGTCGCAGTATCTGGGCTCCCTTTTGGGCTCCTCATTTCCTCAGCAGTAGAGCTTCTCCTCTATCTTCCCCCAGCACCCCAGGCCCAGCCCTCTCTGGAGGAACTGCTCAGCACTGGTGTAAGGGCACATCCAGGGCTTTGGGTCTGTCTCACCCCAAAGCTGGCCAGGTGGAGCCAGGGTGCCCCCTGATGAAAGCCCCCGCCCCCTTAGTTCCGTGTCTGTGAGGATCCTGATCCTTCAGTCTTGACCCATTGGAGTTTCCGAAATATGGCAATAAATGATCTCAGGTCACAATCACAATTTCTGGACTTCTCCAGGACCCTTCCTCCAGAAGGACAGGCACATTCCTGGCTTTTCAGCCTCTGGGCTATGTGGGTGTGCTCAAGTTAAGGATGTGAGATGGGGAGATTATTCTGGATTGTACAGTGGGGCCAATGTAATCATGAGTCCTTATACGAGAGGGAGGCAGGAGGGTCAGAGTCAGAAGAAGAGAAGTGGCCATGGAAATGGAGGTCAGAAAGAGAGAGATTTGAAGATGTCACACTGCTGGCTCTAAAGATAGAGAAAGAGGCAGGAGTCACAGAATGCAGGTGGCCTCTAGCAGCTGAAAAGGCATGGAAGCGGATTCGCCCCAGGAGCCTCCAGAAGGGATGCAGACCTACTGACATCTTGATTGTAGCCAAGTAAACAAGACCCGTTTCCGATTTATAACTGCCAGAACTATAAGAAAATACATCTGAATTAAGTCACTCCATTTGTGTTAATTTGTTACAGCAGCCACAGGAAACTAATACAGTGGGATTCATTTTCCAGTCTTTAACAGAATATACGAGGACCTTGAGGATGTCACCTCTTACTAGCAACCTTCGATCACTCTTCCTTCAGTCTGTGCTTCAAAAAGTGCAGATTTGTGGTGCTCCAAACATAGCCTGTTCTCTCTCTTACCTCTCTACCTCTTGTCATGCTGTTCCCTCATCTGAATGCCACCCACTGCCCGTCCCCAATCTTGCTTACCCTTCAAGATTGGGCCCATTTTCTGAGAAGGTGTTATGGAGTTCCTAGACAGGCTGGGGCACCCCTTCCTCAGCATCGTGTAACTTGCCTTCCCCAAACACTTAAAACCTGCATTATAATTCCTTTCATGTCTGCTCCCAGCTACACCCAGAGATGGGGCCATGTGTTGAACTGCATGTTCCCAGCAGGTAACAAATGAGTGGATAAATAAATGAACAAATAGTTTTCCTTTAAAAAACTCACCTCTCTAGTAGGGGCACTGAGACATATGCAGGTACCTCTAAGTACTTACATGGGGGAGCAGGTGAAACACTTTGGGGGATTAGAGGAGAAAACAATGTCTTATCTCAGGACCTGTCTGTCTCTCAGAGGTGGAGGGAGGGAAGGAGAAGATGTGTGTGGAGATGGCTCACACACAGGATACCATCAACAAAAGCAGAGGCTTGCTCATGGCTGGTGATGACCTCAGTGTCTGGCGTCAACACTCAGACATTTCCTGAGGACCTGCGTAGAATGCTCCTTGGTCCACTTGTGCCATTCCACTCAGCTCTCTGGAGCCACCTAACTGCCCTTGAGGCATCTGTGCCTTTGTTTTCATTAACCCCTCCCACGCTGTCCAGTCCGAAGGCTCAGTGGCAGGAGGGAGTACCCTCTCCTTGCTCTCTTCCTTCCCCATGTAGCTCTCCTCAGATACTTTTCCAACTTTGCTCAGCTGTCTTTCTCTCCTGGGAATGCACAGTGCAGCTCTCACAGGAAGACTCTTTCTTCTACCAAAGGCCACTGAGCCAGAGGGGAAAGTCCATTAAAAGGCCCACAAAAAACGGACAAATCTACTTACTTTTAGATTAAAAAAGTTTTGGATCATGATCAGTTCAAGAGGAGAAAGGCATGAGAGAGAAAACAGAAAAGGAAAGATAAAGTAAGAGGAAGGGAGTTTAAGACAGCTAGGAGGAAAAATGGGAAACAGAGAGAAGGCAAGAGAAAGGCCAACACTGTCCATCCATCCTGTTCCTGTATCCCAAAATAATTCCACTGCTACTCTCACTTTACAAATCAAGTGCTTGTCGCTGTTCAAACCTGGAAGCCAGATTTCAAGGTGAACTGCATCCTGCATTTTATGTCTATGTGTGCAGATGGGAGTGTACCTAGATATCACGACTGTCCTGGGTGCTGAGGTGGAAGTCTTGTGTCTGGGACTTGGGATGCCAAAGGGACAGACGCGAGTGCTCAGAGAGGAGATATAAGTGGAGCCACATCATGGAGGTTGCTGATTCACTCGATTTTCAGAGAGAGGTCTTGTTTTATTTAGGTCAGGAAGGCTTTCTCTAATAGTTCCTTGGTGATTACTTCTGCCCCAAATTATTTTTTATCTTTCAGAGATTCCTATTAGCTTTAAATTGTATCCCTAGATGAGGTCTCCATATTTGATCTAGTCTCTCATTTAAAAAATATGTCTTTTATTTATTTCAGAGAGGAAGGGATAGGGAGAGAGAAATAGAAACATCAATGATGAGAGAGAATCATTGACTGACCGCCTCCTGCATGCCCCCAACTGGGAATCAAGACTGCAACCTGAGCATGTGCCCTGACCTAGAATCAGACTATGACCTCCTGGTTCATAGGCCGATGCTCAACCATTGAGCATACCAGCTGGGCCCTAGTCTCTCATTTTTAAATTGTCTCCTTGTGTTCTGTGACCTTACATTAGTTCACTAATTCAGTATTTTGCTATGTCCAATCGCCTATTCAGTGTTCCTACTGGGGTTTTGAATTTAACACAATGTTTTTCATCCTTACTTAATATTTCATGATATAAGATTATGTCCTTCTCATGATGGTTTGCTTTGGTTGAAGAGAGGCAATATCTTTTAAATCCTATTGACAAAACAAATTTGCTATCTTTTAAAAACTTCTATTTTCCTTCAGAGGAAGGAAGCTTGTCCAAATCTCCAGAAATTTGTGCATCTCTTCTTATGAACTGCAGAATCTCTTCATAGATCTTTTCCCTCTGAATTTAGTTTTACACCGAATAACTATAGTTTCCTAGTATAGTAAATGCATTTCTTGGCTTTTTCCTCATTGTCACAAGATGCCTGCCTTAGCTCCAGGCACAACAAACATGCAAGGCAGAAAGAAGGTACAAGAGGCAAAGCCAGCCACACCCATAGCTTTTTCAGCAAAGCAAAAGCTTTCTCAGAAGCCTCTCAGAAAACTTTTGGAGTTCAAAACTGTGTCACATAGCCTGGCTGGTGTAGCTCAGTAGTTGATCATCGACTCATGAACCAGGAGGTCATGGTTTGATTCGTGGTCAGGGCATATGCTCAGGTTGCAGGCTCAATCCCCAGTAAGGGGATGTGCAGAAGGCAGCCAATTGATGATTTTCTCTCATCAATGATGTTTCTATCTCTTGCTCCCTCTCCCTTCCTCTCTCTGAAATCAATGAAAATATTTAAAAAAGACACAAAACCAAAAAAACTGTGTCACATGGGCACCCCGAGCTGTAAAGGAAGCTGGAAAAGCAAATATTTAGCTCTTTCAGACTATATAGTAGAGGTGAGCAAGGAAGAAAGGGTTTGGCAACAGGTGGATGGGTTACCAATCAACAATGCTGGCTACAGGGCCTAAAGCAGCGGTGGGCAAACTACGGCCGCGGGCCGGATCCGACCCATTTGAAATGAATAAAACTAAAAAAAAAAAAAAAAAAGACTGTACCCTTTTATGTAATGATGTTTACTTTGAATTTATATTAGTTCACACAAACACTCCATCCATGCTTTTGTTCCGGCCCTCCGGTCCAGTTTAAGAACCCATTGTGGCCCTCGAGTCAAAAAGTTTGCCCACCCCTGGCCTAAAGGGTGAGTTTCCCAAAGGCCTCTCCCCAACTCCCCTTTCCCCATCTCCCAGCGAGGAGCAGTCCTTGCTTTTCCAAGTCCTCTTCTGCTACTTTCCAGACAAATAACACTCAGTTCTCAATGGCATCCATTAATCCAGGTCTTATGATATTAAGATTCAGCAAAAATTCCTCTAGATTCTGGCACTGAGGCACTACTCATCCTTGATTTTTAGTGCTGCTGCTACAGATATTTCGATATTTGTTTATTCTTCTGAGTATTTTTATGAGAATTTGTGAGAAGGCAGAAAAGTAAGAAGCCTATGCCTGTGTCATACTTTCATGCCCCAAGGTCCACTCTTCCCTTTTATAAATACCCTGTGACCCTCCATCCGCGATTTTATCAGTTAGTGCTCCTTGGTAAAGTCATTCATAGTCAACTGGAAGCTGCATTAGGAACCAGATGGGGTGCTGAGGAGGGAGTGGGATGAGGGAGGCCTTGGGGGAACAAAAAGAGAACTAGAAGGGAGACAGGAAAAATGCCCAATGTCAAGTTCATTAACTCAGACATGTGTGGCTCAGTGGTGCCCAGGGGCCCAATCCAAATAATTTCACATCACTTTCCTTCCAGAAACTATGATTCCTTTACATTTCCCTCCAGATCCCCTTTTCCCCCTTTGCTGTCTGGACATTTCTGCTGCTATCTCCCTCCTTTGTTTGATTTTTTTTCTTTAATCCCTATAATATAAAACACATCTTTATTGAGTTTTTATTTCTCCTTTTTGTAAAAAGAAGAGGAATGCTTTCTATTTTCCTCTAATAAAAAGAAAGAAAAAGCATTTAAAATTGCATAGAGTTCCAAATGAGTTTTCCCGGTGAATCTGCAATCCTAAACAGGAAAGAAAGGCTCCTGACTCCCAGGCTAGGGAAAAAAATGACATTATCAAGATGAGGAAGGGATTGGGGAGCAGTGAAACAGACTGGAGGATGCGGAAAAGCAGGTCTGCGAGTCAGCTGCCAGGGGTGGAAATGTGGGACCGCTGCACTCAGCCACTCTGGGCTGCCCTCTTTGCTGACTGGGAGCCGAACTGTCTTCCTTCAGGAGAGTGAGGAGGGAAGAACAGAAGGAGCCAGCTCACCAGGAACCCACCTGCCTTCTGACTCTCCAATAAATGTTACCCGGAAGCCTTGAGAGAAAACACAGTGAGCAGTTTATCATGCCCAGCCAGTGCTCTGGAGGACCGGCCCTGCCAAGTTCTCCTTAGAACATACCTGGGGAACGAAGATGAAGCAGTTGATGGTGGTTGTGCAAATAAAGATTCCCCCGGATGTGAGTCCAAAGACCAGGTTAGGCCAGGAGTGCAAGTATCTGGTGACCACAAAAAGAAGCCCAGCGGCCAGCACCACAAGGTTGACCCCAACCATGATGGTTAACGACTGATTCACAGGAGGAGAGCTGACGTGGTCAGTCAGGCCCGCCAGGTAGGCACCATACAGCAGCAGCAGACCCTGGATGCGGAGGGAGAACCAGAGGCTCAGGGAAGTGGAATAGCAGACTCAGGGTTAAAGAGCAGGAGGGCTGGGACCACTTAAAATAAGGGTAATAATACCCACCTTAAAGGGTTGCTATGAGGGTTTACTCAGACATGAGAGGACCCTTAGGGTGCTTCTGGCACCTAGTAGGTACTTAATAAATGTTATTTTCCTCTCCTGCCCTGAGAATTGGTTTATCAGAGGTCAGCAAGATGGGACTCTGCTGGGATAGAGGCACAGGACCGGATGGCATAGGCGGGCAGGAGCCCTACAGGTAGGGCTGCGGGCACATCATGCTGGTGGTGAGGGCTGCCACGTCCACCATGTGGTTTTGCACTGCGTGGAGCTGCGGGCCACATGGAAGCTGAAATACCCCCGTGGTCTGTCTGCCCAGACATGTGCAGCGTCAGGAGCAATGCCCTGAGGAAGGGGCTCATTTTTCTAATTTTCCCACAGGCACCATCTGCTGCCAAGCCCTGCACCTGCAAGATTGCATCTGCCTAGAAGGGAGGCCTTTTCTAATTTACACAAAGGACCTCTCCAGGCTAGCAGAGGCTCTGTGCCAGTGGGTGTTTATGGGAGATGAAGAGTGGAAGCAGGAGGACAAAGGCAGGCTGGGAACTCGACGAGCCTGTGGAGCAGGCACAGGCAGCAAAGGCTCCATCTATACCCTTCACCCACTTTGTGACATTCCCGGCCCCCACCACCAGGAACCCAGGGCCTGTTCTTTCCTCTTTCTCATGAATATAAAGCTGCTCTTGCCCTGGCTGGTTTGGCTCAGTGGATATAGCGTCAGCCTGCGGACTGAAGGGTCCTGGGTTCGATTCCAGTCAAGGACACATGCCCCAGTTGTGGGCTCGGTCCCCAGTAGGGGGCGTGCAGGAGGCAGCCAATCAATGATTCTCTCTCATCATTGATGTTTCTATCTCTCTATCCCCTTCCCTTCCTCTCTGAAATCAATAAAAATATATTAAAAATACAAACAAACAAAAAACTTGCTCTCAAAGTTCTCATTTCTAAGAAGAAAACGACGCCTGGTACCTTAAAGTGCTTTCTCTCTTGGAAGGAGCTGCATTTAAACAGAAATCAAAACTTTACTCAATAATACATAGCATATACTGTAGATGCAACATAAGTCCACCTGACTATGTGTAAAGTACCATGCTAGGTGTAAGGCAGGAACCAGTGCTACAAAGAGAACTAAGCCATGGTCCTTTCGAGGAGCTCGGCCTGCTAGGGAGATTGAAGGCAAGACACAAATGTCCATGTTTTATAACTGAACCTGAAGATGCCATGGGGGATGAGGTGGGATGGGAACTAGGCGACTCAGAGGGAGAACTAACGATGAATATAAATAAGGTCAGGTATCAGCAGGGCACCTGCCAGTGTCCCAAAATGCCCCCATCTGACTAGCTTCACCTACAGGTACAGCCCTGGCGATAATTTCTGGGAGGACGGACAGGTTAGAGCAGTGGTTCTTAACCTGTGGGTTGTGATCCCTTTGAGGGTCGAACGACCCTTTCACAGGGGTCACCTAAGACCATCGGAAAACACGTATATAATTACATATTGTTTTGTGATTAATCACTATGCTTTAATTATGTTCAATTTGTAACAATGAAATTGGGGGTCACCACAACATGAGGAACTGTATTAGAGTCACGGCATTAGGAAGGTTGAGAACCACTGGCCTAGAGTAAAGGATCAGCATGGCAGAGACGCCTTCTGGATGCCCCCAATGTCCAGTGTCCCAAGTGGGGCCTGACATGCCGCCCTAAGACCTTCAATGGTTAGAAGATACACCAGTCAGGAGGCCAGAGGGGCCTGACTTTGGGAAACTGATGCCATCAGGTGACATTTGGCAGAGTTGGATTATGAGTACTTTAATAAAAAGTGAACAAAAGTAACTCTTTGTTTTTAAAATGTTGAAATCTGATTCTATTTAAAAATTTCAGCCCTGGCTGAAATTGCTGGTGTCAATCAGTGGTTAGAGCATGGGCCCTGTGCACACAGAGGGCGTTGGGAGGGCGGTTGATTCCCGGTCAAGGGCACATACCTGGGTTGCTGTTCGATACCCGGCCCTGGTCGGGAATCATGCAGGAGTTGTGCAGGAGGCAACCAATCAATGTGTTTCTCTCACATCCATATTTCTCTCTCTCTCTCTCTCTCTCTCTGTTTTTCTCCCCTGCCCTGCCCCCCTCTCTCCCACTCTCTAAAAAAAGCAATGGAAAAAATATCCTTGGGTGAGGATTAACAACAACAACAAAAAATTCAATTCCATTACAATCCTTGCCCAGTGGGAACTAGGTATTAATAGAGCCCCTATACATCCATGACTCATGTTTAAATGAATCACATATACTTGTAGGTCATTTGCCTTCACTGCTGAGAAGTGTGGGGTAGTGGACAGCAGACAGGTGCAGGTGGGGGCTCCTGGAACTTTATGCAGAGATTTGGGTCTTCGCCAGGGACTGCTCATGGACCGGGAA